ACAAAAAAAAAAAAGAAAAAAAAAGAAAAAAAAGGAGGAGGAGGAGGGTGAGAGAGAAGCTGGGAGAGCAGAGAAAAGGGGCCACCGGTCGCCCCCCCGCTTCCCCGCACGCGCTCTCCAGCCGCGGCTGCCCGCCTGCCGCGGTCACCCCGGCCTCTGCCTCTGTCCCCCAGTGATCGGATCAAGGCGCTGAGAGAGGCCCTGCCTGCGGGGCGGCCATGCGGCGGTGACAGGAGCGCGGCCGACAAGCACGGGCCCCTCGCCCCCTCTCGCCTCCCGCCCGCTCGCCAGCTCCCCTCAGCCGAGGCTGCTCCGCAGCGGCCGTAGCGCGCGCGCGGCCCACACTCGCCTCCCCTCGGCACCCCAGTCCCCGGCGCTGCCTGGAGGCGGCCGCACTCGGGTGAGTCCCTCTCGCCTCATCCCCGCGCCCTCCGCCCCCATCTCGGGGGGCCATTGCGAGCGGGGGGCCTTTATTGGAGACTTTGCCCCGCTGGGGCCTTCAGGGACAGGGCCCTGGGAGCCGTGGCCGGCCGCGCGCGGTGTGGGGCCTTGGGGGGCGCCCCTGCCTCCTCCCCCCACCCCCACCGCCTCGCCGGGCCTCGAGCCCCCGCCGGCCTTGGCAGTGGCCGAGACGAGGCGATGGGGGTGGGGCGGCACGGACGCGGTCGCGGGGGACGACAGTGGCACGCGCGCGCCTGGGTGCGCGTGGGGGAGGGGCGCGCGCGCCGGCCGGCGTGGGGTGGGGGGGGCGCCTCGCGCGTGCGGTGCCGCGCGCGAGCGAGCGAGCGGCCCCGCGGCCTGCGCATGCCCCGCCGCGCTGATTGGCCGGCTGGGCGGTGCGGGGGCGCGCGCGGTGCCAGGCCCGAGCCGCCGTGGGGTCGCGCTCGCCTGGTGTATCTGGGGCTCCTGCGCCGGGGCAGCAGACGCGCGGGATTGGCCGACCAGCGCGGGGGCGGGGCCGCGCGTTGCCTGGTAACTGCGGCGGGCGGGGGGGAGCGGGAGCCCCGCCCCCCGCCCCGCCCCGCTCCCAGGTGGAGCCCGCAGTGGGCTTTGTCCCGGGCCGACCCGGCGCGCCTGCCCCGGCGGGCCTGTTCTTTGGGGGAAATAAACACAATGACCGGAAGGAAAACCTCAGCCTTAGGCCATGAAAATTAAGCCGTCTGGGTTCGGCCAGCACCCGGACGACGGGAGTGCAGAGGAAGAAGGAAAATGAAATGGAAATAGCTGTCTTCTTGCCGCTCCCTTACTCCTCCACTTTTTCTTAATCCAAGTTTTGTCTTTTCCTGTAGTGAATTTTGTCCTCCCTAAGTTATGATTTTGCGCTCATTTGCGGCGGGTGGTGATTTCAGATGTGGGGTGTTAGAGTAGTGTCCACTCTTGCGGATGCGCGACTCTTGCCGACTTACCTCTTTTTACCAAAAAAAACTTAAAAATTATTTGTAGAGACTCGGTCTCACTGTGTTGCTTAGGCTGATCTCGAACCCCTAGAGACTCAAGCGATCCTCCCACCTTGGCCTCCCAAAGTCCTGGGATTACAGGTTTGAGCCACCAAGTTTGGCCTAATTTTTCTTTTAGAAACAGGGTCTCTCTATGTTGCCCTGGCTGAAACGCAGTGGCACAATCATAGGTCATAGCTCATTGCAGCCTCCAGCACCTGGGGTCCAGCGATCCTCCTGCTTCAGCCTCCCTAGTGGCTGGGACTACAGGCGCATGCCCTCATGCCCAGCTAATTTTTTTTTTTTTT